GAATATCATGTGAATTTAGTAAATTCTAAGAATCCTATAGATCTTAAGAAATCAAAAATTATGCTGATCATCTAATTTCATTATCAACATAAAATTAATTCTAGTAACTTCTATAAATTATTTGATAATTCTTTGTAGATCAATTTTTTAAGTGAATTTTTAGCTGATAATAGCACTTTTGTAATTTTGTAAATAAACTTTTCAGCAATTTCAAATTTTAATTATAAAAATTAAATAAATTGAATCAATTAATTAATCATCACTAATTCATTACTGAATAATTCTAGGTTTAACAATAATTAATCTGATGTTTAATACTAATTAATTTCTATAAAAATTTATTAAATAATTTTATATATTTTATTATATTTTTGTGAATATTTAAATTATTAATTTATACTTTATTAAAATTTATAATGTAACATTTTTTTTAATAGTAAAAATTTATTATATCCTTTAAATTTAATATAAAAATTTGTTATATAAAAAACTTTGTTAACAAAAGTCTTATTTATTATACTTGGTATAAGATTTATAATTTGTTATATATAATAGTAAGTTTTATTATGAAAATTTATTATATTCAATTATTTTATTTAATAAAATTTGGAAATACTCATGAAATTTTATAATAATAAAAAATTCAATAGAAATTCATTATAGTGAGGTTCAATTATACTAAAATTTATATATGAGAACTTTGTAATAGTTGTAATAGAAAGGAAAAACATAAAAATGAGTAATAATAAATTTAAACATATGGAAGATGGTCAGGAAAATCCAAATTTTGGTTAAAATTTATATTATTGGACCACTTAGCTGATCTTGATCATGTGCACAAATTTAGCTTAATAATTAAAAATTAACAAAAATTTTGGATTTCTCCTTTTTTATTGATCAACTAGCCTGAAAATCATATATATCATATAAAAGTAATTATTGTTTTCTTTTAGTAAATTTCTCTCTTTCTATTGCAAGGTCTCATATTATAAATAAAGATTTTCTTTTTTGTATTTTAATTATTCTTTATTTTTACTTGAATTTTTTTTTTAAATTTTCTTTATTCAAAATTTTTAACAATTGATTATTATCATAGAAATTATTAAATAAAAATCCTGGATTGTATTTTTCACATATTTCAAATAAAACATCAATTCTTTCAAATTATTTCCATTTTGCCTTATGCTTTACTTTTTGTTTGTTTTCCTTTTTCTTTAAATGTCATTATATCTGGCATATTTTCCTGAAAAAATTGAACTGAAACCATTTTAGCAAAGTTTGATTTATTCTTTTTGTAGCTAACAAATTTTTCTTCAAGATAACTCTAAAAAAAAAAAAAATGAAAAAAAGGTGAATTGCTGAAGATGATGAAAATACAGGATCGTTGATGAGTATTTTGCAGTTGCTAAGAAGTATGTTTAATTAATAATGCAAGATCAGTATTTTTTATTTCAAGTAATGTTGTGATAAGTTAGGAGTAAATGTTGGTACAGATATATTTTATGCGAAAAATTCTTGTGGCTCAGGAGAATTGAACGTAATGAGGATTTTGAATTAAACATATTTATTAAAACGCGTTCGTCTATTTGTAAAGTCGATCAAGATCTGATCGGTTTAATCGCGACCTGATAACCAATCATTTAAGGGCTCAATTATCGATCGACCCGGTCCGAATCAGAGATCAAATGATATCATTATGACTAATAGTTTTAATCCCATTGTTTGGATTGTGTTTAAACTTGATCTATATGTTTAGTGATATACTTTTTGCCCATAACAACTTGAATAAAAAAAAATTTTTTTCAAGTGGAATAGATAAAATTATCAAATGAAATGATAAGATCGTTTGTGCTTCCTGGAAGCCTAGATCGATTCCCACATTTTTATTTTCAATATTTAGATAAGTGCGCTCAAAGCCTATATAATTCTTTACAATTCGCAGGTGATGATTATTTCGAAAGACTAAATAGCTTTATTATTAGTAAATAATATTCGTGAAGGTGAGCTATATCTAGAAATCAATAAAGTCGCGGTCTTTTTTTATATAAATATATATCAAACGTCTAAATATAACCCAACGTATTTTTAATTAAGTGAATTCTTATGGTTGATTGGTTCCTTGAATTTTCTTGGCGACAATAAGTTTTTTACTATACCAGTCTTGCCGTGTTTTTGTTGATCGATCGGCGTGATCGGCTGTTCCGAAATTAGAATATCACATGCGTCAATTGTTGTATAAATTTTAATTTATTTTTGGTAGTTAACAATGTGAATCTGGTGTGTGGCTTTGCAAATTCCAATGACAAAGTCAAATTGCTTTAAAAGGAAATTAATATGAATTAAAAATATAAAATATAAAAATAAACGATTGTATACAAATATACCAAATATTTCGAAAAGAGAATAAAATCAATTAATGCTTTGACCTATGAAATTTGCGCGGCTTAGATTTTCTAAAAGAAATATAAATAGACCGGGTTGGAACTAGATTTTAGAATTTTATGGGATTGGTTTTCCAAAAGGGAAAGGATTTTTAAGGTGTAGCAAAACACAATTTCTATCGATGAGAAAACCAATATCTTATTTTATAAATAAGATTAGCTTTCTTCTTGATATGTAATTAAAACTTTAAAACTTGTGGCGGTGTTAAAAAAAAAAAATTTTTTTTTTCGATTGTCGATTAGTTTAATATCCTTATTTAGGTTCAATCATTCGCTATTTTAATAAATGATGTCTTTATTATTTGTGAAAATTTCCAAGAAATCACATAATTGGGACTTTAATGTCCATAGTAATAAAACAAGAGGGGGCTTAGAATTAGTTCATTTTTAGTCTTATTACATATAATTAGGTTGAAGAAAACCCGATCGCGCCAATTTTAATAATTAAAGGATTTATGGCTGTGTAATAAAAAAAAAACAAAAAGAAAAAAAATACTCAACAAAATCATCAATTATAAAAGCCACAATAATATTTATTGAAGTTTAAGGAACATAATTTTTTTTTTAAAGGAATTTAATTATATAGATTAAATTTCAGGTTATTTTTATTTATTTATTTATTTTTTTTTTTCATCAAATTCAAATAAACAGGTTTAATTTAGATAAAACTTTCTCAAAGATCAAGTTATTCTTTGGTGAAAAATCATTATAAAGAGCAAATCGATTTAAAATCGTAACTTTTTTTTCGTTTAACACATCTTTAATGAAATGTTCGACTTTATCATCTTGATAAAGCACAAGTTGTCAAAATTAATTCATTCGTTTTTTTGATCCCAAACTAATAATCATTGTGGTAAGCAAAAAGGAATATATTATAATTGTGTGTTTGCCTTTTCTTTAAAACGATATCAACTAAATGTTTTTATCTTTGCATATTTTAGACACGTATGTTAAAGAAAAAGGATAAAAATGTGTATAATATAACGATAGTTTCCTCAGATTTTTCTTCATTTGCAATTAAGTTTTTAAAAAATTTGATTGAGAAATAAAAAGAAAAATTTCAACGCGTTTCGTCGCATTTTGTGAAAAAAAAACCCAACCAAAAAAAAAATTTTTTTTTTTTTACATTATTTTAACATTTCCCGCACACTTCCTTTTTTTCCGTTAAAAAAAAAAGGACTATATTAAAATTCGTCGCATTTTTTTTTTTTTTTCAAAAAAAAAAAATATAATAATTTAAATGTTTATTGTTCATGTAAAACAAAAAAAAAAATTTTTTTCCTCTTTTTTTTTTCACTAACCCGCACATTTTTTATTGTATTATTTTTATTCTTCTTGTTTTTATTGTGTCCTTGTATTTTTTTTTTGTATATACCCTACCATAAAAAAAAAAAATTAATCCCTACTTGTATAAAATTTCTTTTCTTTTCTATGTTTTATAATTCTTTTCACGATAATTTATACATTATAACATTCATTGTAATATTTAACTTAAATTCTTTTAATCTTTTTTTTATCACCTTAAAACATTTTTAACAACTTGTATATATGATAAGCTAAATTACTTTTTTAAAACTACAAGATTATTATTATGTAACATCCTACCCCATAAATTCAAATGTGTAATTAAATAAAGAAAATATGTAATAATTTATTTAAATTAGATTATGATAATTCCTACAATTTATCTTTTCGAATTTGAAAATATCTTTATCTCGTTTATTAATCATCAACTTAGCATTCATTTTGATTTTCTTGATAATATGTTTGATAAATTCGCGATTTGTGATTTTTGCAATAGAAAGGGGGAAACTTCCGGGAAAATTAATTTTACTTTTTTATATGCCAAATATGATTTCAGGCAGAAATATAAATTTAACATAAACTTGGTTTTATTTTCTCAGCAGTTTCTCCCCTTTCTATTGCAAAGATATCTTAAAGTAATTTAGATGCTGCGGGCGATAAGACAACAGTTTTTATAAATAATTTCATCCAATTTATTTTTAAATATTTATTTTTAATATTTCTAACGTAAATTGTTCAAAGGTTGATTCATAAATTTTTAAATTTTTTTTTTTTATGATTAATAACTTGCAAAATTTAAATTTTTTTGCTTTTTAGTCTTGGTTAAAGTCTAGTAAAGTCGAGATTACAATTATCGAAAGGTAAAAAGATCTTTAATTAATAACAACTAAAACAATTTTTTTTGTGTAGTAAAGTAGTTAATCACTTTTATACAAATTTCGTAATTCATTAGTAACAATAATTCAAAAAATTTTAAGAAAAAGATTTTAACTGCCTAGATAAGATATTATCAATACTTGCTATAATTTTATAAATAAAAAATTTATATTAGAATTATTTTATAAAAAAAGTAAATTTTATTTATTCCAGGGGATTTTATACATTTTTAGCAATGTGTGATAAATTAAAGATTTTAAATAATTAAATTAATCCTTTTTGAGACAAATCATAAAAGTCACACCACCGTAAAAGTTTAAACCAATTACAATACTTTTTTCTAAACTACAATTTTTTTTTTTTAAAAAAAATTGGAAAATGGATGAAAATGAAATCAATTTTGATGATTTAGACATTTTGGATAAGGAAGAATTCCTCGAATTGTTGAATGATCCTCAGAAATTTGCATTAGAGATATGTCCAGTTGAAATTTGGAAACAAATAATTTCAATTGTTGAAGATATTCCAACATTAACTTCTTTATATTTAACATGTTCAACATTAAGAGAATTAACAAAAGATCAATTATTAACTCAAATGGCGACCATTCCTCCATTGAAAAAATTAAATAATTATACCAAAGCAAATCATCCCGAGTTCACCAATCAAAAAGAAATCATTTTGAAAATGCATAAATTTATTGATATAGTTGTGATTGAAGGAAAAGTTGAACCATCAAAATGGACAGATAATATGCAAGAATGGGATGGTTATAATGAATCATTAGATGTTTGGGCAAATCAAGAAAGTTTTAGAAGAGAAGTTGGTAGAAAAGGTAAAGCCAAAACTAGATCCCACATTGTATGGGAGAAGGATGTTGATAATGAGAAAAAATTATTGAAAAGAGAATTGGCAAAATGTTGGGCTATTGCTGGAAAAATGTTTCCATTTAGGTAAGTTAATCAATGTAATTTTTAATGTATTTGCATTTTATTAAGACTGTTTTCAGAGGTTAATTTAACATTTAGTCATACAGAAAACAGGGAATGGAAAAAGAAGCGTCAAGAAAAATTGGCGAATGATGATAATAATGAATCATCTCCAAAAGAAAAAGAAAAAGAAAAAGATAAAGAAAAGGAAAACAAGACAGATTTTTTACAACAGGAGAATTCAATTAAACGACAACGTCGTAAAATCAAATCTGCTTTGGTACCTCAAAAGCCGCCAAAAGCCCCAAGACGTAAGGGTTCAGGAAATAAAGCAACACGTTCTTTAAATTCAGATATCACGTGGAAATATACACATGAAATTCGTAATCAACATAAACCAGCAAGACCAAATCTAGGCAAAGGTGAAGAAGAGTTTAATCGCAAGATCTTGACAAATTATGTCACACCGAAACATTTTAACTCCGGTGAAGAATTTGAAGGATTATCTCATGATGTTTTAACCATCGTAATGGTTAAGATGTTGAAGTTATTTGATGATAGCGATGAGAGAGTTTTAAAATATCCAAAAGAATTAAACGGATATCAAAGGAAACAACTACATCATCAAGCTGAAATTCGTGGATTGAGAAGTATTAGTTTTGGTGAAGGAGAAGGCAGATTTTTGGTTGTTATGAGAAAAGATGTTGAAATCTTTCGTTAAACAATCATTTAATTTATATTTATTTATTTATTGTTTACTATTGTATTATTTAAATATTGTATTTTTTTTTTTTTTTTTTTTTCGTTGAAAATAATAAATTTCTATATTTATATGGTTGATCATTCATGCAATTTTTTTTTTCTTCAAACATGTGAACGAAACAAAGTCATTTTATAATTACTGCGTTTCGTACAACTTCTGGAAAAATAAAAAGGTTATATGAAATGCGTGGAACAATTGGAGTGGCTGACATTTTTTTTTTTTTTTTTTTTTAATTTTTTATTGTTATTGATATTATTGTCATAATATTTTTTTTTTGTTGCCTTAAAACTTTGTTTATGATCCGTTTTCGGTTATCTCTCTATTGATTCACAAAAATTATATTAATTATAAAAGACAATCACTTATTAAAATTTGCGAGTACACTCGAGAAAAATGACAGATTGTAATGAACGCATTATATTAAATGTTGGTGGAATCAAGGTAAATCTAACGATTTTATATTTAAAATCTTTTCTCACAAATTCACTCGTTTTTGATTTTACAGTATGAAACGTATCGATCAACCTTGACGGCTTATCCCGATACATTACTCGGAACGATGTTTCAACAGCGTAATCACGCACTATTACACCCAATGAATGACAATGAATATTTCATTGATCGTAACGGACGAGCATTTCATTATATACTAGAATTTTATCGTACAGGAGAGATCCTTTGGCCGAATAGTGGAGATAATGATGGTGAATCATTATCTACAGCAAATATTTGTTGTGCGCTCGTGACCAGAAAAGAACTTTCGAAGGAATTAGATTATTTTCAAATTCCAATACCAAATGAAAAATCAATTTCTCCTGATAATAATAGTATAAACGTTGAGGAAGAATATAAACTATTAGCAATAAAATTAGATGGGTTTGTAAAAGCATTATTGGAATCTATATGTTTAGCAAGGCAGGATTATCAAAATGTTTTAAACGTAAAATTCTATGATCGCCTACCGACGAAAGATGTACCAAAATCAATTCATTTTCAGCCCAACATTGATAAATTATTAAGACCTTACGTTGGAAGTGGGTATTTCATGCTCGAAATGTTTCCCAAGCCTATCGAAACTCATATTAAAAGTTGTTTACCCGGAATAAGGTGGAGTCTAGATAAGAGGTTTAAATATGAACCAGAACCAAGTTATTATGATTTAAAAATCATTGGAAATGTTGTTTTTGATAAAAATGTAATTCTTAAATATTCTTCTCTTGATACAAGATGAGAACTTATTATTATTATTATTATTATTATAGCTTATAGAATAGATAATAGTTTTTCAAAAGATTTCTTATTAAGATTTTTTAATTTCATTAATTAATTTTATAATTAGACCTAGAATTCATATAATATTTAATAAAATTTAGATAACACTTTTTTTTTCTTTAAAAAAAATTTTCTTACGCCACAGCATTTAATACCATTCGAGAAATTTTTTTTATGGCCCTGCATCTTAGATGTACACACCTTGTAAATTTAACTCATAATTAAATTTATTAAAATATTTCGTTATTACGATAAATATTTACTTTTTCCTCAAGTTGCCAATTGATATAATCATTTTTTTTTGGATTTGTTTTACTTCTATTTCTCTTTACGAAAATTTCACTGTGCGTTATTTATTAATTAAAATAATTAAAATCATATCGAGATGTTTGGTGGATGCGTACAACAATAAACTTGAATTGCTTCAAAGTTTCGCGTCAAAATTGTTCGATACAATGATTCTTTTGTAATATAGCATTATGTTTTTAAAGTACATTATTATGTAGAAAAAGATGAAAAAGAAAGCGGCAGTCCTTACTGCGTCACGTATTTTATCTGTTATTAAAAAAAGCAGGAGTAACGAATAATCTTTGAGTAAGAAGAAAAGGTATAATGTCTAAACGCTGGCCAGTTTAGTCAAATTCAGGTTTTCAACCAAAAATGAAGGAATGTAGAGAATTTCGAAGATTTCATGCACATTCATTCGTACTTTTAGCTCGTTCAATTTATTTTCATAAAGAGGTTGGAGAGGAAGGAAAAAAAACATTATTATTAAAAATATATTACACGTTGCGAAACCTAAATAAATCCACATTTCTTTTTAACATACAATTTTTTAGAATAGCGTGGGGAATACCCATACATTGAAATTAGATTTGAGTGTTTTTCTACGAATTCGTAATTCTTTTTTTTATTTCTGAATGGGGAATTGCTTTCACGTAATATGATCTATATCGGTAAATCAAATGGCAGTCGTAACATCATCCATCAAGCATGGATGCTTTGAGCACCAAAAAGAACCGCGAAGCTTTTGTCGAGAACATTTTTTTAAGGTAGAACATTCGAAACTTTTTATTATCCAAATATTGTATACACATTGAACGGATAAGATCAAGGTCAAAATGACTTGCATTATTACGTCCAATTGGAACATACTTCTTTATGTACACTGAGGTCTTCATAGCTGAAATAATTTTTCGGCAGTTGTGGTCTGCTTAGTCAGAAATCAACATGAGTTGTCTATTGCTAGGAGGAATCAGCTTTTCGCCAGTCCTCATAGTGCCTTTTTGGATGAATGGCTTGACACAGCGTTTATATGCTTATTTTCTTATAAAGGGAAAGTGTGACCTAGATATCTGGGAAAATCGAATGGTATGTAAATAATACAATATTATTAATTAAATATACAATGTTGCTATTTATTTTACTGATTGTATTTTTTGTTATTTTTAATAATATTAAGTATCTGATTTTTAATGACAAAGAGTATTGAATTACATCATTGTTGATGATTTGATATTCTTTGTCAAGTATAAATAAGTTCCATTTTCACATCCTTACATCAAATTCTTTTTTGAAAAATAATGGTTCTACAGAGGGCGATCAAAATTATCCGGCCACTATTCAAAATGAAAAAACTTATATATGTATTGTATATTAAAATTT